GGTAAATGGCTTGCATTTGAATTCATTTCTATTTACATATATATATGTATGAAGTCGTTTTTTATGCCATTATGTTGAACCAAGTGCAGATTGAAAAGTTTCTCAATCGTAGCCAATGTTTTGAATAGCATGACATGCTCTTAATAGTAACCCAGCGACATTTCATCCATGCAATTAATAATTTGTGTAGTTTCCTTTCATTTTATGATTATAGTGACTATCTGGTTTTTTTTTACAGTTGATACAATGTAGCAAAATGGTGCAAATAATAATAAAAAATTAAAATATAAATAACAAAAATGACTGAATATGTCGACTTATGCATTGAGGTCATACAATGTGATTGGATATGGCCGATAACAGTTAAATATTGAAAATACAATGAACGAAACGCTGTTTTATCGTACGTACAACAAAATACACATTATTTCATTACAAACAAAAATATACCGGTGCTATTATATAATATGGTTATTGCTTAAGCGACCGATATTTAATACCATGCAATTGGAAAATGAATTGGCTTCTTATAAATACTAATTTTTTTCCCATTTCATTTCATTATAAACGTCATCGTTTTTGTTATTATTGCTGTTGTTGGTGCTCGGATTTATCGCTGATATAAAACGAATGATATTATTTTTTCTTCATTCTCAAGAAAATGATCTGACTCATTGTGTTAGCAAGTCGATGGGTGAGAGCTCAAATGGCAAATGTTGATGTAAATGCTTCGTTTCACTGGAACTGCCACAATCAATGCGAATGAATGAAAATAAAACTCAAAAACCAAGAAAATACGAACAAAACATACAATACATTGGAGTACATTAACTTAGAATAACCATTTCTTTTCTCTTCATCTTTTATACAATCGTATACGTGCAAGCGATACCATTTCGTGAAAACAAATCCACTGTCAAGTTAAACAGAGCGTTCAGCCAAACGAAACATGGAACAAAACGCTTTTATAATGTTTATAGCCCGTTCGTTTTGTTAATCATTTTCCATTAATTGTAAAATCAAATCGATTTTCAACACGCGAAACGTCTCATTGCAAACAGAATTTTACTCTTATCTCAAATGATTTTATTCACACGAAACGTATAAAAAACAAATATTGGGAAACGAATAAGTCTAGCCAGCCACTTTTCATATATTTCCAACTAAATCAAACTTTTGGGTCGGAAAAAGTTCAACCACATCCATTATCTCTGCTTTCTCTAGCTCTTCAATTTTCTTGTATTCCTACCTTTGCTCTCTGCTATTTTGGTAAACTTTCACTTTCTAATTTTACCGTCACTATCCAGTCACTCGATTTCAGAACTGCCACAGGCACCGTGAAGGTTCGAGCACTTTTCTTGCAAGTGCCGCTCTTTCATATATTCAGGTGCGACATTTGAAAATTTATATGGAATAAGTACGAGTAAGTGCCCGCACTTCTCCGGTACAAATAACAGCTCCGATTGATTGGCATCGAAACTAGATGGACCATTGATGACAAACCAATAAAATGAAACGTACGAGAAAAAAAAACAGAGGCAAATATAAGAACACCATTAGAACATATGGATGTGGAAAAGAGTAATTTCCTGTCGGGCTATAAATAGAATGAAATAAAAATGTGGTTTTAATCATTTAGTACATGTATTCCCTTTCACCAATTTTGTTTAATCTCTTAATCGGTTTTTTGAATTTTGGTCTGCATTTAATTGGTTCGGGCTGTTGCTATAATATAAAATAGCATTTAGACATTATGAATTAAATAAACCATCACAATGAATGACACCCAAACACTTACCGGATATAAATGCTAGATTAGAAGGCATAAGATTGTAGCGTGACAAGTGGTTTTTAGACAAATCTTCGTGCCGACATTACTTTTATCATGTTGAACTGATAAAAAGTTTCATTTGCAAATTCTACTATTTACAGTCATGTTTAAATTTATATATTACCGGAGAATTTTGATAAGCACTGAATTGAGATAAAATTAGTATATAACGATGTCATTTTAGTACCAAAACACGAACTGCTGTAAAATGTTTGTGTCAATGTGAATTACGCAACAACAACAACAACCCGGATCACATCACAACCGAAGCATTTAAAGACGAATTTGTTGGATATTCACGGCCGCTGGATATTTGCGAGAGCTGACGAATATCAATTGTGATACAACCATTCGGACACGTGGTCTACAGGTTAGAATCAAATACACAGGCGCCCACCGTTAGTTGATCGATCAAGTTAGGTTATGTTTGGTTTGCTATGACCATTGAACAGTAGATCGGTTTCTATCATATTTGATATTGCTCAATCAGTTGCATTATTGAAATTGAAGTTAATCCGGATTATAATCATATTAACTAAGTTGCATACGAATATTAAGACAAGAAAATAGAAATACGGTACAACTCAAATTCACCGTACATATCGGTCTCGTTATAATCGACATTTGTTTGCTATTAAAGAACATTTCCATTGTAAATTTCAATTCAGTGGTGTTTTAAATTCCGGCCAATTAATTTTTAGCGAAAGTTGAATGAACTTTAGACACTGCGGATTATTTTGAAAGGTAATATTTGGACCAAATCCCTTGGTTCATTTTGAAAAAGAAAAACCACACATATTTTTTTATCGAGACCAAAACTCTTTTTTTTGCAACAAAAACCAATTTTTTTCGATTCACAATTGATTTTAATCCTTTTCATCTGATTGTAGTAGTATAACATGCGGTTGTAGGGTTCATTTGTCAGTGAAGCAGTCAGTTGTTCACCACCGCACATTTTATCCACTCCGAATTCAGTTTTGTTATATCGATGACCGAATATCGCTCGGTGTCCATGCCATTTAGCTATTTCGTTTAATCCCATTTCAAAAACCAAAGTATGAGCGCAAAGATTAATGTTCGCTGATTTGTTATGGAAAATATTCGACAATCGTAAGTAACGATTACGTTTCGTGCTACAATTGGATTATCGAGCTACTACAATACACGATATCAATTTAATTGGTGGTCAACCAAAAGATACGGCAAATAAAGAACAATATTCAATGTGATGGATTGGTGAAACGAGTAGATTTATGTGGTTTTGAGCAAAACAAATCATGGAAAATGATAGTTTGAAAACTGAATTTCAAATTTTGAAAATTAAATGCTGATGTGTTGTGGGTGGATGCCATTGAAGCGAATGCATGGAAAATGTGGCTGAAGCTTGTTGAATGGCAAGCACACTCATTTATTCAGAACTACCAAATTTCGAACACTTCCGATCGAATCCATGCAGCATTTACAGCTTTTCAAGTGGTTTAAGTAAATCACCATCAAAAAGCACATACATACTTATTGGGGCTGAGTGTACCAAATCAATGTTTGTTCATTAGCTCGATGTTTGTTGATTGCTTTAGTGTAATAAAGTGTTTTATTTGCATCTATTGGACATTTGATTTACATGCACACATATAAAAAAAAGTCAAAAATGGAATTGTGTACTCATAAAATGTGATGTATTTTTCAAGTTTCAGAAACAATGACAAATTCAGTTCGAGATAGATGCGTTTGAAAAAATGTGCGATAAATTAATGGATAGTTTGAGTAGTTGATCTATTGAATAGTTTGCAAGAAATCGATATTGATGTAATGCGAAGTGTGCGATGGAATGACATACACCACTGATTGGAATGGTGATGTTAATATTAGCATCAAATATGTACCGAGTGATCCAAATTCCTGCACCATTTCGAGTCGTTAAAAGTCAAAATCAATATACATTCTATCAGTCCAATACGAGAATGCAAAGCATATATTGCACATGTTACGTGTAAAATTTGTCGACTGTTTTGACACCTAGGGGATTGACGTCAAATATATAGCAAGTAAATAATAAATGGGTTTGATTCATTTTGAGAAAACAGTCTTCTTGAATATTTTTAAAATAAAATAAACCAATACTAACGGAGTTGTCAGAAAAGTTGACAGATACAATTGAGATATTTTCAGCGAGCTTAATCAGAACAGGCAGCTAATGTTGGGAGCGGAAATGGAGCGACAACAATTGAAGTGATTGTTATAGATATAAAAACACTTACAATCACTTCTATTTTTTTCACTCTATTTCAGCGTCTTACGTTAGCTGCCTGAAAATATCTCAATATAATGTATGAAAAACTTAACATTCAACATGGCAAATATTATTTTTGCTTCTCAATCAGAATAAATGCTCAAAAAATGATAACGAGCCCGCTTTATATCGGCCCCTTAGTATGTCACTGCCAGCTAAACTTCCCCATGAATTTCGTTATCGAATTGAATACATCTTTCTTCCTCTTTTGCTTATCACCTTGATCTAGTAGTCAACCACATCAAACCATAAAACTTCCAAAGTACAACGATTCACAAGGCATTTTATGCTCCTAGTTATGTTCGGTATTTAATTGTATTATTTCTAATGTTGAATACAGACGTTTGTATACCTAACTCGTTATATACTAAGTTATAAGATATATAGCGGATAAACTCCCGAACGTTTTATTTCTCATTATTCGATACACGTATTGGGCATGCCATATGTATATGTACAATTTAAAAGAAGCGATTGTAGCGCGCGAACATGCTGATAATGATAATAATGTGGGCATGTGAGATCGGCTGACCGTTTCAATTCAAATTGTGTCGTTCCATCGAATACAGTTGAGTTTCCAGCGCGCGAATGGTTTCATCAAAATAATTGAATATTCCTAACAGTTGGACCGAAATAATTTGCAACACATGAATAAAATTTTATGATAACACCGACACTCGGCTCTGTTTTATGCGTAGCAAATGGCATAAAATCAAATTTATTATATATTTTATTCTTTTTCTCGTCGTTTCTTACAATTCCGTATTTTTATCACCAAAACACTGCAAAATAATTTTGTTTGCATTTCGTTTCGGTTTTGATTTTCTGTTCTCAAATGTGTTCGTTTTCTCTAATTTTCTTTTTTCTTTTTCGTTCCAGATAAGTTTCGTAAAAACAATCACCGTGCCGTGGAGAATTTAGCATAGACGACGGCTGGAACGATGCCGTCATTAAATTACGCCGCTCTTGGCGTGCTTTATGCACTCCTTGGGTTTATCGGTTCAAACGATAATTTAATTGGTCGAATGGTAATGGCAGAACCGCCGCAACAAACATGTCCGTCAGTTAGCGAAATATCACCGTGCGCATGCAGTGTGAAAAAGAATGGACTTGATATATTGTGCGAAACCACTGACATCACTCACATCAATCGTGCAATGACTAAACTAAAACAGAGAAATCCAATCATATTTTATTTAAAATTGCGTCACAACAATCTACCAAAGTTGCAAGGTTTCGTATTTCTCGCATTAGATATTCGACATTTAACCATACACAATAGCAGTTTGGCTGTTATTGAGGAAACCGCACTGAGCTCATTAGGTAAGAGGTTTCATTTTGATTCAATCCATTTTCACATAGATTTTTAACATGGATTTTAATGTGTACATTTATTTGTTAACCCGTACTAAACTTGTTGGAGGAAATATTGTGTCCGTTTCTCTCTCTCTCTCGGGCAATAACAATTCCAAACAGGTCATTTAACAAATTGTAAAAGCTTAGAGAAGGTTGCCAACCTTCGGTTGGTTATTGCCAATCTCGAATAAAGATAGACTTGTATTTATTGTTCATTTTGGCCATTTTGAATTGACCAAATGGCCAATTGAATGTTCATCGTTTTGATTACAAGTCATACGGAAGTCGTCAAGATTTATTCCTTTGTGATTAAATGAATGGGCGACGCTTGTTTGGTCCAAGTGACTATACAAAATGATAATACACTAAGGGAACATTTTTCTTTCTCGATTCAATTCATTCATATTATGACTTGTTCCAAACATTATTATTTTCGTATTTCGGTACCTTTTCATCCTCTATAACACAATAACATAATAGTGTGAATTCCCGTTATCCATTTCTACATGTAATTCAGTGCAATATCATTGCGCATTGTTCTCCCCCCGTCGATGGCGCAATGCTGTCATCAAAAGGAACAAAATTCAAACGAAGCAATGTAAAGACTGAAATAGCCATGCTTATTATATGTATCTCTCTCTCTCTGCGTGTGTGTGATTTGAAGTCACGGAATCATTCATTGGACTTCGTAAAAAATAAGCCATTTTGTTGAAATGACTTCTTTTAACTAGATTTGTAGAGAGACTTTATTCGCTTTCCATGTAAATTTCGACGCAGTCATAACATTTTAAGTCTGCTTCGTTCATATCCCTTTTCTATTTTTTGTGGTTTCCACTTGCTCCAAATGAAAAGATGAATAATTTTCCCATCGCTCACCTTATCCAACTCCATTTTAAATGACCGAGAAAAAAACAGTGATAACAATAATAACAAAAATAAATATTACGCAATTTTCGCCAAAACTGCCGAGCCAGTAATGGAAATAATGAGAAAAATAAAACCAACCGTAAAGTCAAAACAACAACATTAAAATGGAAGGTTCTTTTTTTTATTCAAGAGACTTGAAATTGTTTTATGGGCGATATATGTAAAGTATACACAACTGAGTCGACTCATAAACATACAAATGTGAAAATATCCCTTGATAATATAGTATTTTTTGAAAACTTATTAAATCTCAATTTAACGCATTTTGTGTCTGTGTGTGGTATCATCATTTTGTTCTGTAATAACTCAATTCTCACGTCCAGCAAACGCAAATTTGAAACACATATCACAACATCAACACTCATTATACAAATTATTGCATCAACAATGAAGAAGTAGTACACATGCACTTCACTTACAGATTCAAATACAGATTGAAGTGAAAATGTGTAAAATACTAAATAAGCTTTTCATTTTTATCAAAACAGGGAATCACTAGAGAGTCTCTAGCATAGAAATAAGAATATGAATGAAAAAAAGAATTCAATCGGAAAGCAGAGTATAGATTATGTTTTGAACTTGAAAAAATTATTATTATTTTTTCAATTTTTTTTTTTTTTTGAATAGTATCATTATATCAAACGCAATACTCTGTCTGACAACACATTTCAATTTTCTGACATTTATGCAGTTTCAATACAACCACATCAAAATACAATAACAAGACATTTAAAATACCAAAAGAGAAGTGACCAAATAGCTGGCTTTTGTTGGCAATATACCAAAGTCGAACTGAATTTTGAAAAAATAGACAGCATTCAAAATGATTAAACCGACCTTGTCACATTTAAATGTCAAATTAAGAACAAATAAGTTTTATCATTGACACATTTTGCCCGCTCTGTGCTTATTACCGACACTAACCAAAAACACGAAGAAAGACAAAAAGAATCGATTTTTGGAATGATAATAATTAATGTTGTGTCCTCCAGGGATTTGAGATACATAGCAACAAAATGCAATGTATTTTCAACCTCATATCTCAGCCATCTATCAAATCATGCTTCTCATTGTCGCTTTGCTGACTCAGATTCAAACCGAATTAAAAATGAAAAATTTGATTACAAATTCTGCACGATAAGGGAAAGAGTGAAAAAGGGAAAGGATATTGCGAATGGCAGACACAATTTTTATCATATTGCCTCAATCGTTTCGAGTTTTCGCCATTTATTTTATCTCCGGTTGCCTTCAAATAAATCAAAACGCTTTCGCATCGTCAACAACTGAAAATACAACAATAAAAGTAAACTTAATATTGTCGTCGTTATATTTCCGTTCCATTTCAAGAGCGAAAGTTTTGCCAGTACAAATCTATTTCATTTGTTTCTCTTTTTTCTCTCTTCATCTTCGTTCCATCGCCTTCTTCTGTTGGCATTCGCAAAGATTTCATTTATTTTAACATTCTTTGACTTCTTTTTTCTGGTTATTGTTGTTGTGATGCCTTTTCCTCCGTGTCTTTTGTTCACCTCGTTGCTTTTTCCTTGTTAGGCAATGTAAAGTCAACAAGCAAACTTGACGCGCAACACACCACTTCCGTTTGAAATCAACAAATATCTGCACCGTTTGGTGGGTAGTCTGTGTCATTTCGCATGCACTCACTTTTCTGTTTCTTATTCGTAAGGTCATTCTCGTAATAAAACTAAAATAAAAACAATATTTTTTTCTGTGTGTGCTGATCATAAGCAGCGAGAAACTTTTTCTCCTTTTGTTCGGTTTGTTAGACATGGTTGTAGATTTGTCAGTGGTTAATTTTCGGTTGATTTAATGTATTTTACGCGAATAACTTGCTGCAGGGAAGTAAAAACAATCACAAAGACGAAAACTTTCTGCATGTGTCATTTGCTTTTGTTTTTGCCATTGAATTGAATGTGTACTGTTTCTATTGTGACCGTGGGAGTTTAGGCATCATTTCTGTGCTTTTTTGTTTGTATTCTAGTTATCAATGCTTATGGTCTCTTCCCGTTGACCTTGTCAATAGCCGATGCCGGAGTTAGTTCAAAACTTAAGTTCCAATTTCGAACAAAGTGAAATAAATGTAGTGCTTTATAAAAAAAAGTTTATTTCGTTGAATTTGATTTTTCAGTTCAGTTAATTGCGAACAAATTTCCGTTTTTCCTATGTACGCTTTCCAACTTTATATTGTGCCTTGGTTGTCGCTTGTTTATTTGTTGACGTTGTATTCAATTTGTGTCAATTTCGAATTGATGTAAATTGTTAAGAGAACATTTATAATCGAAAAGCGACGACAAATGTTATTTTGAGTCAATGGTTTTAATACAACGGCTACTGTTACTGTGCGGCAATTCTATACTTGTTCTTTTTTTTCGTCTCCTCCTTCGTTCAAACGAAATAATATGGTAATTATCTTTTTGCGTGCAGACCGTATTTTCCAGTTTTTGAATTGTTTAGATAATTCCGATGGCATATAATTGACATGACATCTGTCTGTACATTTTATTCAATTTCAATGTAGTTGCCGACTCGACGAGCCTTCGTGTGATTTATGTTCGTGTCAACAGCAACAACAACAACATAAGAAATGATTACTTTTTGAAAGGGTGCCCCTGTTTATTATTTCACTTTTCTTTCGCCGCAGACAAGAAGAAAAAATGCTATGAAAAATTCAATCGCATCACTTTCGATGCAGTTTTCTTTTTGTTTCTCGTTAATATAAATCGAATGACATCAAATAGTATTTAACCATTCAATTTGACATTTAAAAATGACTGACAACACTCATAAATGTTATTCGTTTCTATTTTCGAGATATTAACACTGGCTTTTACGTAGGTTGCTCCATAATTTTTTTTAAAATGGTACTTATAGTGTTGCCCGATGTAAACCATTGTCATATTCGTAAAGTTTGATGTTTTGGTATGTATTCGTGCCCTGAACCTTTTGTCGTACGAACGCTATTTGTATTGTTTACAGTGACTGGTAAACTGCGACTCAACAAAAAAATGAATTTTACACGTGAAGATTTTCGTAAAATGATTTACTACGATTTTCGAAGTAAATTATCTCAACAACAGTGTTTCGATCGACTTCATTTGGCCTTTGGCAATGAAGCACCAACCCTTCAGACAATTTATAACTGGTACCGAGAATTCCGTTGCGGTCGTAGTTCGCTCAAAGACGAGTTTCATACAGGTCGTCCAAAATCGGCTGTTGTGCCACAAAACATCGATGCTGTCAGAAAACTGATTATGGAAGATCGTCATGTGACCTACCGTGAGATTGAGGCATCTTTGGGCATTTCATCCCACAGCATACATACAATTTTGCATGAACATTTAGCCGTAAAAAAGATTTGCTCTCGTTGGATCCCACATAAATTGGCCGATGAACAAAAAATGGCTCGTGTGAGTTGGTGTAAAGAAATGCTCAAGAAATTCAATCGTGGTGCTTCAAAAGACGTTAATAAAATCGTCACTGGTGACGAATCGTGGATATATGCCTATGAGCCCGAAACGAAACAGCAGTCGACTGTATGGGTCTTCCAAAATGAAGATAACCCAACGAAAGTTGTTCGAGCAAGAAGCACTTCGAAGCGAATGGTCGCCTGTTTTTTCGGGAGAAGTGGTCATGTGGCAACCGTTCCACTAGAGGATCGTAAGACCGTCAATTCTGATTGGTATACCACCATTTGTTTGCCCGAAGTGTTTGGTGAAATAAGAAAAAACAACCACCGTCGCAAAATAATTCTTCATCACGATAATGCGAGCTCTCACACATCTTTTCAAACTACTCGATTTTTGACCGGTCAAAACATCGAACTGATGGGTCATCCACCGTACAGTCCTGACCTGGCACCCAATGACTTTTTTTTGTTCCCAAGCGTGAAGAAAAAACTACGTGGTCAACGATTTTCGACACCAGAAGAAGCAGTTGAAGCGTTCAAAACACACGTTTTGGAGATATCAGTTTCGGAGTGGCACGAATGCTATGACAAATGGTTTCATCGAATGCAAAAGTGTATCGATCATCTCGGGGAATATTTTGAAAAACAATAAAACCATTTTCGACAAAAAACAACTGTGTTATATATGTTTTTAAAAAAAATTATGGAGCAACCCTCGTATGATATATTTTTGTGTAATTTTAGGAAAGGAACTGACTCAGCTCGACGTATCTCAAAATCAACTACAGAATGTGCCGTCAACTGCAATAAAAAATCTACATCATTTGCTGATATTGAACTTGAATCACAATCGCATCTCACAAATACATAATCGGGCCTTCGAGGGATTGGACACGTTGGAGATATTAACGCTATATGAGAATAAAATTAATGTCGTCGAAGAGGGAGCATTCCGGGGATTGGAAAAGTAAGCGATCAAGTGTTATGAATCGATTGACACATTTTATTCATTACAACACGGACAAAAAACGTTATGTGACCGATATTGACAAAGTGAATCATTTTTCATTTCATTGAATTACAGCATTTTTTTGGACTTGATAAATAACATACAAAAAAAAACGTTTGATTACATAGAATGGATTTATTCATCACATATTTTATTATAATTATTGTATTTATTTAAATGATGCACTCATTTTACGAGCTAAACAATTCCAATTAAATGCAATGTGTTATTGCTATTTTCGTAAAAATGGTTTACAGTTCGATTACACGCCATTAATTTTAAATCAATAAATTTGTTTTGAGGTATGGGTAACAATTCATTTTTTTTTGTTCTTTTTGAATTTCAGGAAGCTTAAACGCTTGAATCTCGGCGGAAATGAATTGACGTCAGTACCACAACGAGCCCTATCCATTTTTGATAATCTCAAAAAATTGGAAATTCAAGAGAACAAAATCAAAGTAATCAAAGAAGGAGATTTTGAAGGTAAGCCAAAGGCAATTTTAACGAATATAATTTGCATTTTTTGGTAATTTTGTTGCTTCCATTGTGAGCATAACAATTGCGTCGTCTAAAGTTTTTCGGTATATTTTTTTCCAATTCTGTGGTTCATCCGATATCTTAAACTAATGACACATACCAAACATTTCTCTTTTTATCTTTTTTTTCTTCATTGATCGATATTTGGTCGATTTCATTCGGATGTCATGGATTGGATGCTTTGACAAAAAAAGGTTTGAAAAATTTGGATTCGTTGATTTTGGCACACAATCAATTGTCCAAGGTTCCGGCCAATGTATTCAGCCATTTGACTCTATTGAACTCACTTGAACTGGAAGGCAATCAGATCACGTACGTGGACAAAGATGCATTTGCTGGATTAGAAGGTAATCATACATTGTATCCCACAAAATACAAATAAGCAATTTTTCTTTCTTTTCTTACCTATTTTGTCAATGATTCATTCTTAACAAAATTTGACGACGAAATTGGAATGGAAATAAAAGAAACAAAAATAGAAATAAAAGAAAGAAAAAAAGTTATAGTCAACAAGGTGCTTGTGAAGCAAATTGATAAGAGAGTTGGAAAATAATTCGGAAAAAGACTCCATAAGTGAAAATAATTGATGCCATATATTTGAAATAAAGGCACGTTTACAATTAATTATTGCTGGCCACAGTAAACGTAGAGAGGGAACGACATTTCCAAGTCGTTTCTTTGCATTGTTTGCGTTTTTTTTGTGTGTTGGCCATTCTCCACCTAAATGATCGCCTATTAATTCTTCTCGTGATTATACGAAGCATATCTATTCAGTGCAGGCCCTATTTCCGGTCTGGGTTTTTCATTGGCAAATGACGAGAGTCAGTAACAGTAGTCGTGAAACATATTATGAATTTTTACGATAGTAAGAAAATCAAGCTCAATAGAGTTGGACAAACTTCTTCTTATACATTAAATATATACATACAGGCTGTTGGTCAAATGAATATGAATTTCCACGGTGTATGTCCGTGCATGGGTTGTTGTAAATGTTACACAATATTTTCATTATTAGTTGTGGCAAATTTTTTCGTGACTCTATACAGCGAATAAAAGGTTGTGAATACAAAATGTACGCGATTCGTGTATAATTCAATTGCCTATCCGGGATAGATCTTGAATCGAATTGACGCAAACACACATTCATTTTTAAGTACACATATATTTACGTTTATTTATAGACGTAAACAAGCCCACATCGCAAATTACGGAATTTACCAAAAACAATCTTATGCTTTTGCAACAGTGCAAAACACCGCCGCTACGTATGTGTAAATGAAACTTCGAGCATCATGTAGGATCATGTTTGTTGTACCATCTCCTTCATTCAAATGCCATGTTATGATGGTATGATGCCCTAGAGGGGTTTTATCTGCGACTATAACACAGGAAAAAATCGTTTTATTAGCCAGTTTTGATGACAACAATAGGCATTACCATTTTTATGCGTTTATTCACACACCGTTTCTTTATCGAAACTTTGCTTGGATGGAAAACACGGGTTTTATCCCAAAAAACCTGGTATGATAAAATATTCTTTTTTTCTGGGCCATGACCTGATGTTCATCCCATTTACATGAAATTCATTTTGGATACAAGTAACACGAGCATCTCAAATTAGATTGGTTTTATAATTTTCATAACTATTTTTTTTGACAGTTTTGAGTTTCAAATACATTGAAGTTGATGTGATTTCAAAACAAATACAAAAAACAAAATTTATCAAGTGGCGTGTTTGGCATAGGATCTTGATTAATTTTCTTTAAAAAAATGAGAAATTCTCTATGTCTTCTCGTCTTTTGTTGAGAACCCACCTGTGGTGTTCAGAAACTACATTGTTTCGAAATTATCTTAGGAAGTCAAGAGCACCGGCATGCACAGCAATGAAATCCCTACTACCGTGCTAGATGGTGTCGACACGAGTGGACGGATTTTTAAATTTATTTGAACGACGCCATGTTACTATACTTGTCCATTACAACGTACATGTAACAGAAGAAACACACAGTCCATGTCCACGCTAGTGGACATAAACGATTTGAACCGTCAATGTGAACTAGATCAAGTATAGAACTTTACATAGGATCATATACGATGAACAATTGAACATGGATTACACAGTCTGTTTCAAAATACCGTCACCAATGTCGACACCATTTGAAATCAAAATTTTGACAGTAAAAATATGTGTTATTGTTGTTGTCGTTTCATTGCTGTGCTGGCATGTTTTCGATGATTTATTACGTCATTATTGAATGCCTGTAATTTGTAATTCAAATGGAAATTTCAATAAAACCTTATAGAATACAGTAATTAAACTAGAAATAATGAATATTCAGCATATGCCAGAATGGTAATACTTTCGTCGTGCCAATAACATTTACTTCGGCGGTACCATGAAAAATGATGTGAAAATGTAGATATTCTTGTTGTCTATGAAAAATGAACTCAAATCTATCCATTTCGAAAAATAGTTGTTCTTGATACACATTTCTGTGTTGAATAATTGCAGATGTTTCTTTTGTTTCGTCTTTGTTGCATAAAGAAAAGCATAAAATTGATATGAAAAGTGTTAGTAGCGTGTTACGTTATCGTTTGCGCCCACTTTTACATCTTCATTCTGGCAACCGATCGAAAGCGATTGTTGAATTCATTGAAGTGGAGATGAGCATAAACATAATAAATAAGCATATAGTTTTATAGTATGGGATATTCGAGTACGTTTTGCATATGCTTGGTCACATGCTCGTACACCATTCATGCCATATATCATCGTTTTCAGCGCTCCATCTCTGGAATATTCTTCATGTTATTCCCTCAGTTCATCCATACCGCGCTCGCTTATACATCTATTTACAATTCATTTTCTCTCGTCATAGTCGTTGTTTTTCTTTTATGTCTTTTGTATACATTGCATTATTCATGCAATCGATGCATATTGCGCTCAATTTATGTAAAAAAAAATGATATACAAAAAACCCTCGCTGAATCTATTATTCCCTTAACATTTCAATGATTGATTTTTTTTGTCTGTGTTTGTTCGCGACGCAATAGACGAATGCATAGCGAGAGACAGAAAGAAAAAAAGCGTTGAACAGTAATATTTTATTGTTTGCATTTTCATGGAATAAAAGTGGCATCAAATTGTAATGAGTGCTAATAAAACATTGTTTTCACATGAAATATGGCGCAAGCATTAGGTAAACAGAGTAAAAGAGTATTTGCATTCTAGTAGTTCACGTTAACTTGTTTTTTTTTTTGTGAGCTGGGCCAAGCTATTATAATTGAAAAATACACCTCGTATCCTATTCACATTTTATAGAATATTTCACCTCTTTTTGTTGACTTAAAAATGAGAAAGTTATGACGTTTATTTATCGCAACAAAAAAAGCAATAGGAATTTAATTATGAATTTTTTAAAACGAGTTCAAACTGCTTGATTACAAAAAATCGCACACCTACACGGAATCGGGTGCAGTCAACCGTTTCGACCATTTCGAATGTGAAATGAAATGAACCATTCTGATGTTCATGCAAATTTGCACTGATTCGTGTATTTATGAAAGCTATTGTTCTGAAAATGCTTTCAAATGCAAAACTTTCCTACCTGATATTCATTTCAATCATTGGCCACGGCACGATGAACACAGAGAGTAGCATATGTTTTATTTATGATATGCATAACAATTTATCGAATTAAATGTCACTGATTCACCTTGTTTCAGTCGTATATATCATTTTATTAAGCATATATTCTCATATGGCTATAAACATATGGGATAAGGCAATTTAACCGGCAAACAGAGAACGAGAAAGATTGGGATCCATAAAAGCAGATTATTTACTTCATAATGATCTCTGCAATTTTAATATCATGTTACCATTTACTGAAAGCATATGTATTCTTATCACTTGAAATCACATGCCTGAATAAAATATGGGTGATTTTCAAAAACGAGCCAGTATTTTAGCTCGAACTTTTTTCCAGAGAGAAAAGTCAAATTTACATTGAACGCTAGATTTCCTCATTTCATCTTTGTCGTATGGCTTTCACACATTACATACATTTTTGATAATATGCTTTAACTTTTGTAATGAACCTAAATGAATTATCCTTTGTTCATCCGATGACACATGGTACAACGAAAGATGAAAATAAAAGTTTAGCAAATACCCATTTCGAAAATAGTTTTGCCATTCTTAAAAGTATTATGGCTAAATAGAGATGTTAAGATGAGAAAAAGCATAGCTTTTGTTCTTTTATCGCTGCATTATAAAGCATACAATAAATATGTAGTTGTATTTATAGAAAAGTGTTTTTCCGGAATATTTATTGCATATAGATCACCGAGAAATACCAATATTTTGTTGAAATAACATCAACGTTTATATTTATGCGTCACATTTAATGCTGTGCTAAAAATAAAGTTTACACAAACGGCAAACGGAAAAATACACGCAAACCAAAAATAAAATATGGTAACATGCTCTTGTTTACGCCTCACCAACAAACATTTTGGTTCGTTGAATGGTGGAAGAAACAAAACAAAAAATCCAATCTAATAAACAACAACAAAAAAAGAGAGAAGAGTTCAACGCATAAAACTTTGCCAATAAATTATTATGCGTCTGTCGTACGAAAAATTTCTGCGTTTGCAGGACAAGCGATTATGCCATCTGCAAGTTTTTATCACCTTTTTAGTCTCTCTGTTTCATCCGCCTTCTCACTTTTTTTCCACATCGACATCAAAGTTTTCTTTCACTCTTTGTCTTCATGATTATATCAGTAAGACGATTGCGGAAGGTATTTTTATGGTTGGTCTACACACAAAATAGGGAGAAAATGTTGAAATTATTTCACTTTTTATGTATTCATCATGTCTATCAGACGGCATAAGTTTGATTTCGCAAAGATTTTCAACTTATTTCGATTGGTTTTACTAACGCTACCGAACGAGATAAAACTTTAAGCTATACACCGCTTTTTGAGCATTACATTCAACCACCAACATGTTTCAGTTTTGTATTTAAATGCGGACGATTTCACTGTTTGAATTCGTTTTGGGGTGTCACAAATACTTTTTGCTCATATTTTGTGTTTGTGTACATTTCGTGTCGTCTGAAAGATTTATGGTCATAGGATTTGCTACTTTTCCGAATAATTTCAAAATATTTCGATTAAAAACATCAAAAGATGCGCATAAAATTCCAGACTGTAAATGATTCGTGTGTGAAATGAATGAGTAATGTTTTTTTTTTATTTGGTTGAATTATTTTGAAATTGCAGAAAACCTACAGTATCTTCGTTTGGGTGATAATAATATTCATCAAATACCGAACGATTCTCTACGTCCGCTACACCGTTTACGACATTTGGACTTGCGTTCGAATAACATCACAGTCATCCCAGAGGACGCGTTCAGCGGTTACGGAGACTCCATAACCTTCCTGAATATACAAAAGAATGGGTAAGTGTTGAAAATGCATTTCAGAGCAGAAAACAGACAAAGAGAAATATGTGCAAAGAACAATACGATATAAACACCACAATGTGTGTTCTCTTTTTCTAGTATTTCTGTGTTGCCGCAATCATCGTTTGAAAATTTAAATTCACTGGAAACGCTGAACATTCAAAACAACAAACTGACTAAAATATCCGGAGATGTGATGGAACCAATCATCGACACTTTGCGTGTTGTCGACATTGTCGGTGAGTAGCAAAAAATGGATTTCTAAATCGAACTTTCATACGGTGAAAATCGCCAAATGATAAACAATGGATTTTTTTTCGTTCTGCACGAACGAAAAACTATCGAAACAACAACAAACATGTTGTAAATTACAATTCTTTTTTTTTTTCATTTCTTTTTTTCACATTCGCTAGATAATCCATTGATTTGTACCTGTGATCTAATTTGGTTTCCCCAATTGTTACAATCGCTAAAAGACCGCGACGACGAAATGACACAGAAAAAGCGTCCAATGTGCACAATGGCCAACGAACATCGTGAATACTTTGTACAATCAATGCCATTGGAACGAATGAATTGTGTTGGAAAACAATTTCCACAGAGCTTACCTGTGGGTAGCGCTACAAATACCAGTCAATATCAGCCAATGATACTACTAAGCTTACTTCTATCAATGATTTCACTATATTTTTGAGCGGATTGATGATTAACGCAAATACAAATACTCATACAAAAAAAAACTGTAAAACACAAAATTAAACTGCAAAATAAACGCCCGTGAAAATTTTTTGATTTTCCAAATGAACATACATAGTAGAAGAAAAAAACAATTAAAATAGAATCAACTACGAAACGGTAAAGAAAGAAAGCAACGCAAAAAAAAAGATTTTAACTAGAAAAGAAATATTTGCAGAGCATGGCAATTTGATCAATAAATTCAGTGTAAAGTTGACAAAGTTTGTTTGGAAAAGATCATGTAAGGCTATTACAAAATTTCCATTAAAGCGAATTCGGTGTATTTTCTAAAAAAAAAAATCAGTAATATTCCTCTTGATCAAAAGATAGCCGCTGGCATTTTTATTTTGACACTTCCAAAGCTGAATTCAAAACATTTCAACCATTTTTTTGTGTTTGTTTGAGAAAAAGAAGAAGATATATCTTTTTCTGGCCTGAACACACAGTGATTCTAAAGTGAGAATAAAAATGCAGCAGCAACAAAAAAGTTTTTCTCATAATTTTTGATTTTCTCTCTCTCTCTCTTTCTCTCTCTCTCTTTCTCTCTCTCTTTCTCTTTTGTTTTCATATTATCTTGAAAGTTTTTTTTTATTTGCTTCTTTTATGCAGTAATTGGACTGACGCAATTTTCAATGTACGTTCATTTTGTTTGCTATCCAATTTCAAATTGGATTACATTCACCTTGTTTTAAAGCATAAATAAATTAATACGATTTTTTTTTTAGTTTTGAATTTCAAAAGAAACAACACGTGAATATATATATATATATTTATAAATTAATTGGCACTGTTTCTGTTTTGTTGTTTCAGTTCCAGAAAATTGATGCTATCAAATGTGTCCGTTGATAGCATTAATTTTATTCTTGGCCAATTAACAATGTTTTTCAATTAATTTGATTTGGCATCTCTTTTTCTTCCACTTCAATAGAGATTTTTATCACATACACACACAAATATTTTATCTAAATAATTATTAAGCTCATATCAATGTGCATAACACACACATTTATTTTTAAAACATGTACAACAACAAAAAAAAAATACAAGCAAACAACTATCTAAATGTATATTTGAATCTTCGTTAAATTCGGTGGAGATCTTACATTTGAAATATTCTAATCGAGTTTAAGCATTTAACAAGGGATACGTGTGCGTGTGTGTGTGATTACTATGCAACTAAATATTGCATGCCTGTATCGCACACATCACACTCTATACCAATTTATCAAGATTTTTCTAAATGGAATATTTTAATTACGGTCATTTATTTTTCTCTCCCAAAAACAAATTATATATGTGTGAAATGTTTTTAAATGTTAAGCAAAAATAATGATATATTTAATAGCCATACCATACAGTTGCATGAATAATAGTTTGATTTTTCTCTAAATCTATTTCGTCTCCTTTTGATGCTCCCTTCATTGCAAACTACTCTTCAAATAATCTTTTGTCGAATTGAAATTCTATGTGTACGTGTTGCAAATTTCATCTTTTTATTTTCACATATTTTCTTTTTAGTCTTTTCAAACAAAACAAAAAAAAAAAATAATATAAATAAGTTTCTACATATATGTGTATATTTAAATCAAAATCAAATCAATCCAACACATTCGTACACGACAAGCGCAAAAGCCACATTCAATTGTTCCAATTGGACTTTTTGTATATGTTATGGTTCTCAGAGGGGGAGGATATGATGTGTATGTGCATGTTTGTGTGTATATTGTGAGCTAGTGAAAATTGAATCGTTTTTTTTATCGCTCTGTTACAGCAGTAGCAGCAGCAGCAACAAAAACAATTCCTTTTGATCTTGATTTAAATGGAACATAAACGTTGATTTGAGGAGAGCATTGTACCCTGTGTTTCAAATGGTTCTGCTAATTTGTCGTTTCAATCAGAGATGCTGCTATTCTTGTGCACAACGGCATCATCATCATAACATACACAACACAGCTCACATTCACACTCTACCAGAAGAATGTGTGTATGTGCAAAAAGCCAATTAGACGTTGAATTCATCTGCTTGGAGGTTGATTGTTTTGAGCATCTGATTGAGCATCAAATTTGCAACGATGAAACACAAAATGGGGACTTTGTGCCAACGCATCATTTCGTTTCATGTTCATTTCTGTTTCAAAACACACACATACAAACACGCTCACTCCACTCACAAAAGTGGAAAGAATCAAGAAAATTTCGATGAGATTTAGAAGCAACAACAACAAAAAAAGAAAAGATGTGAGCAGTATAAGTTATTTGTTATCAAATTCAGAGAAGATAGCACATAATTTATATGCACACAAGCGTCGAGTGTTTTTTTCTACTCCCCCTGTGCTGCTGCGAACGTTGATGATTCATGTCGAACGACAGAGAAAAAAGTGTATCCAGAAAGAGGGCATAAAAAAATTCAATTCAAACAAAGGTGAAAATAGAGTGGCACCAAGCAACATTGAAAATCAACCATCTCTGATGGTTTTTTTTCCCGCTTATGTTCACTTATTTCAGTGGTTGCGCTTCGTATTCGAATGTCATATGGATGAGAATTTATGGGGAGAAAAGGAAAAAAAAAATGTTCTTTCTCTCTATGAAATGTGTTTCAGTTTCATTTAATACAATTTGTGATTACATCAATCTAATAGTTGAAAAAAAAATATCGCGTGTAACGAATGTAAAAAAAAAATTGACCAGAATGAAAGAGAATTGTATTTTTTTCGTTCTCACAAATTGATTACAATTATATTAGTCTGTGTCATGTAAAACATAATTACTATAACCATTGACTTTTCTCATTTTTATTCTCTCTCTTTCGAATTGCACACTCGAAATTTCATTGTCAATGCACGAATCTTGATTCAATAATAGAATCTCGTCTTATTCCATTCCTCGCCGTTCACAAATATTACACACACAAATCACATTTTCACTCACTTCGCATGATATAACCACAAGTGGTTTCTTTGTCCGATATTTTTTTTTCTTCTTTTTATTTTTCTCATTTTGCACACGTTTTTTTTTGTCCAATATTTTTTGTTGAATTCTTTGACCCTGCGATTCATGGAATTCTTCGACGCTGCGATTCGTTCACCGAATGACGAAAAACTCTGCGTGAAATATATAAATCTACAACAGAAATGGAGTAAAAAAATTCTTGCGAATTTTCATTCGTTCACTGAATTCGGTGTTGATAAAAGAATCTTTTCACCGTACGGTGAAAGAAAAAAAAACCAGTCACGTTATCATCATGAAACTTAAAAATATACATGTGAAATATTTATGAGTAAAAACCAAAATACACACCCAAACTCAAAAAAGAATCCTTCTTCAAACATATAATATATAAATAATATATAAAAACAAATAGAATGCAAAAAAAAAAACTAATAAACAAACAAACAAACATGGTACATTTTGTAATTGTGAGACTCTAGAGTATATCGTGAATAGCAATCATATCGCAGCTGAAAAGCTCAACAAATTTAAATAACAAAAAAACAACATACCACAAACATGGTTAAGCCAATTATTATTCAACAAACTAGCGAATAGAAAATAATTGTATTCTAATCAAGATTCTAATCAATGAACAACATAAGAACATAATCAACAACAAAATACCGCACACATACAACATATTTTGCTGTCTTTTACTTTATATCTAAATGTTCAATGTTGATTAAATCGAAGTATGTGTAAATTCACCGAAAAATGAAACGGTTAATTTTATTCTTGTAAAATTGAACAAAAAAAATTGTATGCTCTATATTTTTTAAAACGTTAAAAAAACACACACACACACACACACACACAAGGAACGGATCAAATTGTTGCTTGCCCACAAAGTATTCATGAAAAAATAAAACACGAAATGGCAAGCAACACAATCCAGTGGAGTAAGTTACCTTTGAAACAAAACCAACACAAACATATATTGAAGAAAATTAGCAATAAAAACAACATGAAGAATTATACAAATGAATCAACATATAAACAAAACTAAATGTATGTATGAAATGCATCGTTGATTGTATCACATTAATAAAATGAAACCAAAAGTGAGATGAATTTACCCAAGTGGCACGAAATTGGCGATGCATTTCAAAATAAGTTTTCTTTTGTATTCAGTTTAGATGTATTTTGAGGTATATAAACTCATTATCGTAGATCAATTAAAGTGACTTGAGACATTTTCAATGCGTTGATTTAAATGAAAACAAAATATGGACTAAACAAAAATCGAAATTTCAATTTGACATATCATATATCAAAATACATATCCAAAATGATTGAAAAAAAAACCCTTAGTGATTGAAGTGATGAATTTGTGAACTTTTTTTTCGCGAACTTTTCCCATTTTTAAAATTCAAATTCGAATTATATATAATTTTCACATATCATTGTGTTATCAAGCTATAGCTTAGCGCCTTTTTTAAAAAATATATATAGTATATAATATGGAAACTACAAAATTTTACAGTGGCACGTAATTGAAACGTGTTGAATGTGTTGTGTGAAAAAAATATAAGGATTCAGCTTTGAAATAATCAGATCATTTGCTTTATGAATATATCCAACAGCTTTTCTGTTGATTACCATCGATGTTAAGCTGATTTTAACCGCAAACATGTTTCATTCGAAGCCCTGTGTACGTTTTGGTTAAATTCATGTCTTTTTTCATCAAATAAATGTGAAATATAATTCCAATTTTAAGAATGTGTTTGTGTGAAGAAAAAAAAAAGAGTTGAATAAATGATAGGTATTAGCGCTCCTCAATAGGGGTTGTTAGGCGCAATTTGCATATATGCATTTTATTATGTTTTGTCTCAGACTTTTATTTTGACGAAAAAAAGGAACCAGTAAATCTATACATATCAAATATATATCCATTTATTAAAAAATATAAAACAAAACTACGTATTACATATCAACTTATATATTATATTGATGTTGATGAGGTATAGAATAGTAATTTTTTTCATCCAATCATATATTTTTTTCTCGGTTTATGTATTTGTGTATGTGCTCTTCCCCAAATTTCATTTGAAGAAAAAAAAGAACAAACAAAATTTCAGTTTTTCTCTGCGGAGTATTTTTAAATTCGGCAAAAATCGAAAACAAACCATTCAAAATTGAAGTTTCATATTTTTTTTTCATTCCATTTAAATATTTGTGATGCATTTCGGGTCATGTGATATGTAATTCATCCCTGCAGGTGTGCAAACAAAACAGTTGACTTATTTCATCATTTCTTTTATCTCTGTTGAACTGAATTAAAATCATTCACCGAAAATTAGATTGCACGAATTCATTATGTTGTTCAATTTGATTTGGATTAAATTGGATAACATGAAAAAGCAACATCATTCGAATAAAAAAAAGCCTAGTGAATATCTTATTTAAGTCAAAGACAACAGCAACAGAAGCGAGAGATGAGCGAATTGTGTTTGTTTCATTCGAGTTTGATCTTGTTTCGGCTGCTGATAAAGCATGCGACGCAAATTTTCATCTATGTAAAAAAAAGTGAAAAGGAGATAGATAAAGAAAAAGTGGCGATGCCCCATGAGATATTTCGAGAAAAAAATACATCGTTGTCACCCCGTTGAGCACGAAAGCTTACATGATACGCGTGCACATATCATCCACTTTCATAGTCGTCGTTGCCGTTTCATTGTTGTCGGTGAATCCGATAAATTCCCAGAGATGCAAACAAAAGCAATACACACACTCCGCTATTACTTTCACATCTCTGTCTCTCTGTCTCCTATCCTTTTTTCTATCTGTCTCGTTACCGTCGTTAATTCGCTTGAATTTTGACTTCAAACATCGAACCTAATAAATAAAATCCAATGAACACATATTATATTCCATATAGCAGCCAGCATTGCGAAAATTTAATCAAATGAAAGTAACAATACAGCCATAAAGTCATAAAGTGAATTACGGATGCGGTACATAGTATTTTGATCGGTTAATTTGAATGGAGAAAACGCACACACTGCAAGACCTCACATTCAGTAGATGTACTGAAGTTTGCGATATGGATTAATATAAATCATTCGATAGACCTTCTATCATAGACGAACGATAGGTATACATGTTAAGAGAAAACCGTACGATTTAAATTCGTTTGAATTTGGAACGGTGCAAAATACTGACTTTCGCATCAATGCGATATAAATTCATCACTTTTTGTTAAGATTTGTAGAACAGTGAAAATGAGCACCCACACCACTCGTTTCAAGTTTGTCATTTTGATCAGTATAAGATGATGCAAATGCATTCACACAACTTTTCTTTTGGCATTAAGTTTCAAATCTATTCAGTCGCTTGAATATTCTGGGCATTCAGTCGTATCATTTCATATGCGTTTAATGCAAACGAGGCGCTTGAATCTTTGCATTTGAAAAGATTAACAGTGTGCTTAAATTATTCATCTCAAATTTTACGGGTTTTTCTTTATAAAACTACACAGTTCTTTGAATATTTTATTGTATTTTTTCATCATTTAGACTGAATTCCAAATGCACGCAAATATTCATGCATATATTTTAATCAAATATTATCCATTCAATCGTTTTCGTTTATTCATACGCAATGAATGCACATTTTTTTTCTTCTGAATATTATGTGCATCGCACGCATTGCAAAATATTCACGGTTGTTGTTCAGGTGTGCAAACGAATTTTAATCAAATTTCCAACATCCCGATGAAATCGACGAAGCGAACAGCGAATCGTTTAGCATAAATCATTTTGTAACATGGTAATATTTTATTTAAACGGAAAATGCATTGAAGTGAAACATTTCAAAAACCAAAATACAATTTACGAAATTCATCAATCACAAACCCGTTGATATCACACCCGTTTTTATGGAATAAAAAAAATTGAACCACATACCAAAAAAAAAAACGCAAAAAATTATACATGATTAAATGATGGGCAATTGAATTTTAACAAAAAAGCATCGTTCATGGCAGTTTTCATCAAATGAATGTCTATTAAATCTCTGCGGCCATATATTTGATATATAGCCGATTGATATTTATTTGAAAATGATATATGGTACGAAAAGGGAGAAAACCAATCGCCAAAACTTATCTTGAATGAAAATTCATTTGTAGAACGTAATTTATTGGTTTATTTACTATTTACA